GGGGGGGGCAGAGAACAGAGCCGTCTGGAATCCATTAGCCAGTTGAGGCATCAGTGTTTCTCTGTGGGAACCTTATTGATTGCCCTCCTTTATAATTATTCCACCTCCACTCCCTCCTTCTGGCTCTTGCACCAATCATGCTTTCAGTTTCTCTCGCTTTCTCCTGCCTTCTTATACCCTCTTTGCCTCTTTTTTTCCCTTGCTTCTTTTTTCTTTTTTGCGATTTTCATCCCTCTCTTTGCGTTTGCGTGCTCGTTTTTTTCCTTCAGTTTCACACTGTGCCTGCATGCCAACCCCCTAACCAACTGAGTGACACACAATCTGTGTGTTTATTGATGCCATGTAAGATGTATCGACATACTTATCAGCAGCGTGCAAAGCTACCACATCCGACACAAGGAAAAAATCTGACTCACTCACACTCTGTGTCCCTCTTGTAGAGACACACACACACACACACACACACACACACACACACAAGCCACACACAGCCACACACACACACACAGCCACACAAACAGCCACACACACCCCTCTTAACAGTCACCTCCATGTGCTGTGTTCATGTACCTCCTCTTTATGACAGCCATGTGCTTTAAACTCTATGTTGTTGTATTGCCATAATAGACAGATGTTAATTGTTGAAAACCTTAACCATAACCTTCTGAACTACTCCTGGGCGATATACTGGTACAGCGGTTTTTATTTCCCGTACAATATGAATTTTCATATACCACAGTACTGTTTCATAGCTGAAATAACTGCTGTCACTTTGTCTCATGCAGTAGAACTTTTGAGAAATATCTCCTTGAATATTTGGGTATTTTATACAACTATTTTAAGGTATTTTGTTTTTAGAAGAAAGCAATGTTATATCTTTTTTATTATACCACCAGATACACATGTTTGGTCACACCGCTCAGCACTGCTCTGTACAGTACATTGCTGTAAAAATGAATGCACTGAGAACGCTTGCATACATTCATAATCTGAAAGAAAACCAACAGAAATGTAATTATAATTTAAAACGTTACTACAAAGCTATGTGCATTATAGTGATGTTGAAGAACGTGTCGCCTATGAGTGAGTATGGTCACATATCTGCTGTGATGTACTTTCCTACAGTTTATCGTTGCAGCGAGAGGCTGATTGAACGCTGTGGGGACTTTCACCCCAGGGTTTTAACAAGCTCTGGTACTACACATTTAGATAATGCAAATGAGAATGTTTAATGAGGGTAGGAATCTTTGGGAATAACTCGATACAATTAACAGCTGCAACGATTACTCGATTTAGCATTCTTGATCACTTTTTAAGGAATGCCGAACATCTGCTGCTTCTCTCAAATGTGAGGATTTGATGCCTTTCTTTGTCAAACATGATGGCGAATTGACATTTGAAGATGTCACTTTGATCCGTTGGAAATGATAATGGGCATTTTTCATTATTTTCCAGCATTGTATCGACAGAGCTATTAATCAAAAAAATAATCAGCAGATATGCAAATAATTGTATGTTACAGCCCTAGGTCGATTTGATTCTGGTTCTCGGTTCCACGATTCAATTCAGGAATGATTCTCAATTCAGTTGATAGAAAACGGTGCACTATTTTCTGTCACTCTGTGTACCTTTTTTATAAAACAAGTAAGAATACTGGTTTCAGAACCGTTTATTAATCATTTTTGTTCCCTAATACAACATAACTGACAGTGAAGGTGACTGCTCTTGATATAGATGAATAATTTGGAGTCATGTTAAAGTCTTCTGTCTGTATGAGTGAGAGTAATGAAATCAAAGTGCAGTTCACTGAGCGCCAACACTGACTAAATGACTTGTTGGCTCTCATTTTTGTGTGGATGATGCTGGCTGTTGGCTGTAACCGGCCTAAACGTGTCAATAACTGACACACTGCCAGTAATTTCCAGGGAGAACCTTTGAATCTAACCTCTGCACATGCCAAGCCAGACTGTAATTAGACTGTATGAGACTAATAAGACTGTAATTATTTAGTTCATAGTGCATACTGAAACAAGGGGCCTTGTGCTAAATGACAGTTCATGCCAAACTATTAACACCCCCTTGGTGATGTTTATTTTTTCGAGTCTTTTTACTTTTCGTTCTTCTGTACACTCAGGCTCATGCATTAAGGGCTGTTGTCTCCTCTTAGTTTTTAATTAGAGATGTTCCCATAACGTTTTTTTCCTTTTCGATACCTGAACTTTACCAATCCAATGTTCATAAAGAAAAAATGTATTTATATATACAATATAATTCTCTTTTTTTAACAAGCTAAACCCTTCAGTCAGAGCAGGGCGGGTCACGACTTTGCTATCCTTGGGGAAAAAAAAAAAAAAAAGAACCAAGAACTGCAGGAAAGTACCATGTTCCTATTGTGGGGCTAATCATTTCCGTAGCATTGAATTGGTGCACAGACGCGCACTTTAGGCAGATTCCAGACAAATTTACGATACTAGTATTGGTATCTGAACAACTCTATTTTTAATATATATATTTTTTTAAATTTTTTAAGTGGCTATGAAAGAGTTTCAATTTAACATTGATGCCTCTATATGACCAACATAGGCACACGAGACCATCAGCGTGAAGATTGGCTATTTCTGTATAGTTATTCTTAATGCCTGCTACCACATTTAACAAAACGTGTCAATGAATGGTGTTAGAAATGCTTCTCTACAGAGTCCACCAGAATTCACACAAATGAAAGTTTCTTGTTACCGCTTTATAATGTCTAGTTTAGATAGTTTGCATATTAATGAAGCTAAGAAATTGTTTTAACCTTAAACATGTTTTTTTTTAAAAAGGAGAAGAATAAAATAAAGATAAAGCCAGTCTGTACTGCGTGTAACAGGTTACCCACATCACTGCTTGATCAACACAAAAAAAAAGAAGTTGACTAGAAAAATGTTGTCAGCTGTAATATTTTGAAAGTTTACTGGCTTTTTCTCTGCATGTGGTGTTTTCAGTGGTTTTCTTGCTACATGCAATCACAGCTTGCTGATATATCAGGAATCCATCAGGGGGAAGTTTACATTAAGCCAGCTGCCCACTTTTAGGACAAAACCTTTACAGTGAGTGGCGGAATATGATGCTGATGCAATAGTGGAAATGAATGATAAATTAACAGCAGTATCATGAAGATGTGAAGCTAAAAAGGGACCCAATGAAGACATCATGCAAATTTATATATGCTTGAAAAGCGAAGCGAGCTGTTAAGAATGTGTCATCCTCCCAGTTTTGGATTTACAGAGCACCCATTGCCTTTCCTTTAGATTAAAGAGTGTTTTGGGGGTGTGGGGCGGGATTCGTTGCACTGCAAACACTTAAACTGTCAAATATGTTGATTTAAATACTTAGCGGAAAGTTAAACTGCATTTCCTGTGTGTCATGTGGGGTAGTTGTACACCATGGACAGGGAGGGAGTAGACAGAAAACAGAATGACTGACTGGTTTCCGCAATGTGTGTTTGGGCAGGGGCAAAAAACATTTAATACATAAAAAATGGAGTTTGCAACACTGCTGGTGTTTTGTATACCAGGAATTCAGGGTGAACTGATAAGATAGATTTAAATTCTGAAATTAAAACATCTACTACAAAGACTTGCTCGGTTATTTTTGAATGTCACATTTTCATTATTAAGCTAATTTATAACTGCATAGTATAGTATTTTCCCTTCAAATAATAGCTCTTTTTCACAGCAGCTATTTTGACATGAAATAGTAGGGTAAACACGGATGTTACCAATGACACTAATTAAGTTTCCAGTGAGTCAACGTGCATAATAGCTGCACCCTGACGCTGTCTGACCTGAATGGAACAGGGCCTATTAAACAGGGCTTCATTAGTATCATTGGTAACACCTATGTTTACCCTACTATTTCATGTTAAAATGGCTGCTGTGAAAAAGGTTTGTTGTGTCCTGTCAGTATTGTTTTGTAATGTTCTTTTCGGTTGTTGGACAAAGAGGGAATCAGGAGGAAAAAGTTAGGCTTTTTGTTGTGTTCAGTTTAGCATCTTAGCACAATGCCCTCTGCTTTTAATAATTGTTGTCAGATGTATTTCATTTTGAATATTTTGGGAGCACATCACTATGAATTTGCACAAAAGTTACAATTAATCCTCTTTTTTTACTACTTTCCATTTGTAGAGCACTATGATGGCATAAAATGAGTGCAGAACATCATATGTTAGAACGCATTTACCCTACTGTGCCCCAGCGGTGTCTGGTTTTAAAAAACTTTGCATGTCGCCTTTTAGAGCAAATTAAATCAGCTACTATTAGTTCTATACGTAGAACTAGAAGCAGCTTCAGGAAATGATCATGTTCAACTTCTACAATTCAGATCAGCGCACATAAAGCCTGAAAGCTGTTATTGGTTTGTTACATTTTTATAAGTGTTCTACATTTAATGGATTTAGTGCCATATAGTCAAACAATGAGGTCTGTATCACAACTACCACATCTATTAGACGTGTAAGGTTGTAGGTTGTAAAAACCTAGATAACCAAGATAAATATGTCTAGTCATCCTTTGAGCACCGTGTTAAGCCTCAAGCCATCCACGCCTTGTTGTTGGGTTTCATGCGGTGGTGGCCATCTAGGAATTTTAGGTTTGTTTTATTCTGAAATATGATAGTAATAGTAACTATAATGATTAACAAAATCTGAAACAAGAAGGTTTTTTTTTGCTGTTGATACATAACTTGTTTTGACATGTCATAGACAGGAATTAGTTTGAATAAAGTCCAGTATCTGTACACCTGCTTTAACCTGCCTGCTGCCATAAAGACACAAAAAAAATACACCAACACGTCCTTTCATTTGCCTTTGTTTGAGCACAGTGCTGCTACACACTGTCAAGGCCACAGTGACAAGTGTGTGTGTAGGTGCACTATTGTGTAATGCAGTGTTTACTCTGCGTGTGTGTTTGTGGTTGATTGCTAGCCCACTCATTTTTTCTTCTCACTTTGTGTCTTTGCAGGAAGTTCGGGGAGCGCCCTCAGCCACTGCGCCTAACACGGTGAGTGCACATATACACACAAGTAGTGGTATTTGTATGATCACCCGTGTGTACACTGTACACATTCTTGTGAATACAGTAATTCAATAGCAACACGGCTCCCACCTCGAAAGTAAATGAGATTTAGATTTTTGAGAATCCTTCATAAGCAGTTGAGTATAAGGGAGATAAAAAACTACAAACTCCTGCATGCTTTGGAATCTAAAAACCTGTGATTGCCAGTTGCAATCAGCAGAATCTGACAGAGATTAGGATTTTTCTACCTGTATGCAAGGTGCTGTGTAAAGTGGTCACACGTCAAAGATTTCTGCTTAAATTCACGAAACACATGCGAATACCCGCGGTTATCAGAAAACAAACAGATTCATAGAACCGGGCTTTGAAGAGCTGGTGGTGATTTCCCGACATAGTACTTCAGAATAAGTTAGAAATGAATCTGCAATGACCACAGAATAAATGTAGTGCCAATTGACTGCATGTTGTTGCCACAACAACAACAACAACAACAACAGCAGGATGTTAAAATCATAGCATGTGTAGTTTTACTGTGTACTGCTGGCCTGATCGTACATACTTCCACCATTGGACAGCTGTTATCTGTTGACCCCTGCTGTATTACATAATTTTTGTTCTGCTATTGATTGTCTATTAGTTAAATCTCTAGTTTTTTTTCACTCTCAGGTCTTCTGGGACATGTTTCAATATGCCTGTGTCCATGTCTCGCAGTTGTTTGTAGCAAAACAAGCCAGAAGAGCAATAATTCACCTTTTCCAAGCACTTGCAGTTTAAACGTGCACTCTGTATGCACTGCACTGCACCGTGCACTGCATTCAGCATAGCTTTGACTAGCTGCAAGTTTTTGATTATTCTATTCCTCTCATGTTTGTTCCAAGTCATTTGGAGCAACATTTTGGGTGAACACATAATGTTGATGGATGTTGTGGTTTGCTTCTGGAGGTTTATGTGTGTTGCAGTGTAAATGCATGTGCGTGTATACGCACTTGTTTGCTTGTTGGGGTTTCTCTTTGTAACTAGCGCCGGGCCATGGGTTTTCCTCTGTGTTTGTGTGTGCTCGTGCTCGTTTCTTTGCGCGTGGCGCTCAGCGGGGGAAAATGAGGGGTTTGCATATTGGCTGGAACAGCCGAGCATGGTTTTGGAAAAAGGGGGCCCAGCACCTTTTGATGTGTCCCCCCTCTTCATTCATGTGCTGCCAGTCCGCTGGCTTGCACTGGCCCCTCCATTTGTCTGATGGTTTTGATGGCCAGAAATATGACTGACACAAAACACTCTTTACCCAGCAGCCGAAAGGCTTACAACACAACTCCTTTAGTGTGTGTGTGTGTGTGTGTGTGTGTGTGTGTGTGTGTGTGTGTGTGTGTGTGTGTGTGTGTGTGTGTGTGTGTGTGTGTGTGTGTGTGTGTGTGTGTGTGTGTGTGTGTGTGTGTGTGTGTGTGTGTGTGTGTGTGTGTCACGGTGTCGTATTCTTTGTATTTGTCTCTTTGTATCTGTCTTGGTGTCCTCATGTCTGCACGGTCACTTGTCCCCCTCTTCTTCTTCTCAGCAACAACAGTCCCATGATTTTTTTGTCAGGCAGCAGCAGAGACAGCTAAAATAATGCACCATCCTGCAGGGGCTTTTTAGGGCAGCTAAAGCTCTCCGGGTCCTGCAGGGCCGCCCTGTCAGGAAGGCTACTCGACTGGAAATACAATACACGACACACATTGACTGGAAATGAGCGCACACACACACACACACACACACACACACACACACACACACACACACACACACACACACACACACATCTTAGATTCAGACAGATACACACAAACAGACACAACACATGAACATACAGGCTTGGATAAGCTGCCTCCTCTGTTAGGGGAGCCGCCCCTTCAAGGGCTTATTCTCCCAAACAACAGAGAAGGGCCAGCTCTGCAGAATCCATCGCCTCAGATGGAAACGCTCAATAGAAAGCGTTTTTTAGTTATCTACCGGTACTTCTTTCTCAAAAAAGCCTAATTTCGGACTAAAATAAAACTCTGATGACCACTTATTTGGTCCAGGCTACTTTTTGGTGGTGTGCACTGAACTTTAAAATCTTTTTGTACTTCATCATTTTGCATTTTTTGCATCTTATTGAGGCGTGAGTGCTTGATTTACATGTGAATTTCCTGCCTCACCGTTTCAAAATCAGCTTAATCAGCCATTCAGCTTTCACTGTACATAAATTATTACATTTTCCCCCTTATTTGCTATTGACACATTTTTGTCACCGTGACAAAACGCACTGCTCTTTCTTTTCTTGCCGTTTTTAGCTCGTAAAACATCAGAGTTGAGATCTAGTGCAAGTTATTGTAAGATCCTGTTGTTTTAGGCAATTTCCTATTGGTATTTTAGAGGCTCACAAGGGCCTTCTGGAGGTCAGACATCAAACATGGAGCAGTCACTTCGCCTAGATTCACAAATGTAGAATAGATTTTAAAAGGAGGGTGTGAAGCCTGAACTGGCTGATTGTTCATGTCCTAACCCGAGCCTGACACTACGGATGTGTGTAATCTACCTTTTGTGATTCACAAGGGCGCACACTAATTGCAGTCTGATCATCTTAATTGAGCTATTTCACAGTGCATGTGTTTATTAGTGTGCGTGCGCGTGCGTATGTATGTATGTGTGTGTGTGTGTGTGTGTACACAGGGGGTCTTGTGACAGCCCCGCTCTGCTGTAGACGCTGCGACAGATGCCTGTCTGCTCTGCTGCATCTGTAGCCTGGCTTAACCTAGCCCCTCCTCTCTCTCACTCACTCACTCACACACACACACACACACACACACACACACACACACACACGCGCGCCCCGACACCCCGTAGTGCCTGCTGTTGAATATGTGTCTCTTTTTGTAAATCTGTCTGGCACATTTTTGTCTCACTTGTCGCGCATTTCCCTTTTTGTTTCTTCCCTTCCTCATTCCATACATCTGCCACCTCCTCTTCCTCTCTTTTACTCACATTTTGATGAATGCCCCTTAGCACACTTTCTTGACCTAAAAAAAAAAAAAAAAAAACAAAAAATTAAACCTGCCACTTTGATGAACTTCCCCTGTTGGTTTGCTTCTCGTCCACCACTTTGTGTGACACTTGCTCTGTGTGCTTATTTGCTGCTGTGTTGGTTTAGCTCCTCTTCACTTTTATTTACTTGCATATGTAACCCGCATAACTTCGGGTGGGTCTTGTTAGTTCGCATAAGCCGTATGCATCACAAAGCCGGGTTGCAGTAGCTGCTAAACTGCCAGCCTTGCAGATAAAAGTAGGTTTTTGTGTTTCTGGTTAAATGCATGGCTGTATTGTCACTTGTTGTCTTTTGTTGCATGCTACCTTTTTATATTATATTTTTTTGTTTTTTGCTTTTGTGTGTCTTTCAGTTAAGATTGAAATGCCCATTACCCTCACTTCCTGTCTCTGAAATCTGATGAAATAGGGCATTGATTTTGCACTATTTCGTAGATAAATTTGTATTTGTGTGTTAATAAATCCTACCCTTTATGTTTGTTTATGCATGTTTGTGATTCTTAAATGACTTTACTAGAATTACAAACTTTACTCTCTATTTTTTTAATGTCATTTTGTGTGTCTGCACGCCACCCTTGCATAGGAAGTCAAGCTGTGCACTGGTCACTGTCTCTTTCACTTCTGCTTCCTTTCAGCTCTCAGGAAGAGACCTAATCTCTATCTCTTGTGCGTTGTGTGTTTCAGTTTGTGTAAGAGTGATTACTCAGACGTCCCTTTATCCCCTTCAGCGTCAGTGATCCCTACAGTTGTCGTGAGTTTTAGTCTACGTATTTTCCCCTCCTGTACCGGAGGTCACTACAGTGTGTTACATCACAGTCTTGTCTTTACAGATATCCGCAATTAAGTCATCAGTTACAGGCAGCTTCTTGAGTAACAGTCGGCTCATCTTTCTGTTACTGTCACTTCATCTCATAAACTCTTGTGGCCTAAAATGATTCGAAAGATTTTTTGACCTTGTTGCTCATTGCTGGATCCGTTTCCTGTTTCAATTCTGTATTCTATTACTGTCCTTAATGACTTTTTACTAGCCAGTTACAACTCAGCATATGAAGTATAAAGTACTATTAAGTGACGGTGTTGGGTGCCTGTCACATCTATACAAGATACTTATTGGTGAATGGGCAAAAACACATGACGTATTTTTCTATAAGCTGTTGTGTTCTGAAAAGCCTAAGTCATTTTGACAATTTTATTTGACTTTATTTGCACACTCATCTGCATTTTATACATTGGGTGTGTCATTACCATTAATTGCTATTTAAGCGTTTATTATCCCCCTCTTTTGCATATGCTTTTAATCTCTTGAAGTCTTGATATCACACTGAATTTCCCCCATGTCTCAGTTTTTTCCCTGCTTATGACATTGTCATTTTGGTCCTCAGAGCTGACGTGTTAAAAGTAGGAAAAATAGGCAGTGTGAGTGTTTGAGCAACTTTGACAAGACTGCAGCTCTTGTGGGGTGTTCCCAGTCTGCAGTGGTCAGTACCTATCAAAAGTGGTCCAAGGAAGGACGATCGAACAGACGAGCTACTGTAGCTCAAACTGCTGAAAAAGTTAATGCTGGCTCTGATAGAAAGGTGTCAGAAAAAACAGTGCATCGCAGTTTTGTTGGGTGTTTTGTTTGTTGCTTGGTAGCCGGAGACCAGCCGGGGTGCTCAGGTGCCCATAATGTTATGGCTGATTGGTGCATATACATATATGTGTATGGCTGTGCATTTGCAAGAATTTAGCAATACGATCACGACACAGGTGTTGCAATTCAATATATTGTGTTAAATATAGTATACTGTAAGCAAGGAAAACTGTCATGGAACAAACACCACCATATGCAAAAAGTCCTTTTTTATAGAGAATATCCCTGTAACATACATCATCATAGCCCTCAATTTAGGTTTACAACACTTAATTGATACACAGAAATCAATAGTGCTTTTGATATAATCGATACAATATAATACAAAATGTCTTGATACAATATTTTGTGATATTTTCTAATAACCCTACATTTTGTGTACTTTTTTCCAGTGTTTAATTGTGGTTGTACTACTACACCACTGGGTTTATATTATTCATCTGATCCCAGGATATTCAGTTTCAATTGATTGTTGCCACCTGTGAGGGAATCTCTGCTATCTATTCAGGGGTTATTTAGGGGTAGCTGTGAGGTGGATAGCAGTGTTTAAGAGGGCACTGCTAATGACAGTACATTAAGAACGACCGTGAGTGAAAGCTTAATCTCATAGTGAAGCATTTCTGTCTTGACGGGGGGAATGGTCTCTCCCAAACTTTTACCCACAGTGGTCTGGAATGGTTTGGTGAGCTGTGAAACAGTGTTAACCACAAGCCAGGGCTGTCGCACGAAGCCTACCCAACACTGGTGTGCGATTCTGGTGTCATAAAATAACTACGCTGCAATGTTTTTGAATATTCACTCACAGTCTTGGATAAAAGATGACATTTATCATAGAGCCGGAGGTCTGTGGCTGATTCAGCCTTAAGCTTTTTGTGGGGGGAATTGATTAACAAGGTAATAATTGGTGTTTGAAAGGTGGCGTTTAAATGGGAATATTAATATGTCGCTTGTTGTCTGATCCTTATATTTAGGAATCCAGAAGTAAAAATTGACATTCTTACTTAAAAATAACTGCATCAAGGTGCCCTCGTGGATAAGTTATGCAACCACAGTGTCCCTACTTTAATTCTGGCCCAGGACATTTGTTACATGTTGTCCCTCCCCCATGTTTCTTGTCTGTATCTCAACTGTTGATATCTATTAAATGCAAAATGTCATAGTTGCTGATTCATTTCCTGTCAATCAGCTTATCAGTTCTACTGAATATGTATGCATACAGTGTATAAAAAGCGTGCCTGTGTACAGTTTAATCTCTGATGTCATGCTTATATTATCAGGGGTGTCCAGTGCCATGCAGGGCTGACATCAGCAGGTTTGGACCGCGTGTTCTCCATATAATCAATCAGACCTGCTCAGGAGCCTTCCCCCGGGGGTTGTTGTGTCAGTTATATATCGTTGTCCTAAGCTCCAGATGTGGGTTATGTCATTTAATGCAAACATATAAAAAAGAAGCTACTTTAGCACGTCCATGCAGATTAGTCAGAACTGTTTGAATCAAACCACAGCTTTTAAATCAGTTTGGCTCGAATTGTCTGCACCGTTTTTTTTTTCCTGGCTCGATTTAGGAAAAGGAAATAATTTCCTCCATGTGGCGTGTAAATGGTATCAGATTGCATCGGATCAGTTAAACAGCGTCAAATGTTTGGAATTCTAGGATTGTACCTCCATCATTTTCGGTTATACTCGCTGGCGATTAGTAATTTAGAAAATACTGAATAAACAACGGCGCGCAATTTTGTGTTGCTGTGAGACTCAAATTGCAGCCGTGTTCCAGAAAAATAATTGTCTCATCACACAGTGAAGTGAGAAAGTGAAACATTTCCCAGTCCATTATGAAATGGATAAACCCTCTCAGCCTCCTCCTCCTGCTGTACCACCCCCCCCCCACACACACACACACACACACACACACACACACATGAGGGGCCCCTTGCTTTTCATAACAAAGGCCCTGTCTAACCCAAGCGTGTGGTCCAGTGTTGCGTGGCAGAGTGGAAAGCTTGTGTGTGTGCGTGTGTGTGTCTGAGTGGGAAGCCCTCTGAGCAACCCGGCGTGTCAGGTGTCACTGACGTCTGTGCATGTGCGCTGATTGGGTCAGGGTGTGTTAATGTCCGTGCGTGTGTGATGCGTCTTAATTGTGCATCTAAGCCCTCGATCTTCGACCCCTCCTCGCTTTTTCAGTCCGGCGAAAGCGCCACCGCTCTCTTCCAAAATATTAAAGTAATTTTTCAGCTTGTTTGTGTAAAGGAGGTGTGGGGAGGGTTTGGCGCAGTTGACAGAAGTAATTGGAGCACGGACCTTGCAACATTTTGACACGGAATGAGGAATCTTTGCTGGTGAGCTCAGCTCCGTTGTTTTTGTTTTTTCAGCTCTGGTGTTTTCTTTCTTTTTTTCCCCTTTCCTCCCTCCCTCCCTCAACCCCTACTCTTCCCTCTTCCTCATTCCCCCCCCCATCTCCCTTCTCTTCTCCTCCGTATTCCTTTCCCTTGCACCTCACTGTCCCTCTGAGCCGGTCATTAACGGTTCAGCCCACCACCACCTCAAATGGACCCAGCTGGGGGAGAACATAGCTTTTTGGCTAGCTAGGACTGTGCAGGCTCTGAGGCTTCCCAGAGGTCATTGAGAGTGCGCTGTATGCATGTTTCTGTACATTCTTAAGGTTCATTTTATTTATCCGTCTACCCCCCCCATACACACACACACACACACACACACACACACACACACACACACACACGGCGACCCTCGAGGCTCCCTCTGCTTTAGATTTACGTTTCAACACACCCAGTATCACTTCACCTCTTCTCCTGGATCACAAAATGGCCTGTTAATGAAGAAATGTTTCTCTCTTTTTTTCCCTTCTGTCTCCCTCTTTTCATCTTGCAGAGAAGCGATGAGGAATTACCTGAAGGAGCGAGGTGACCAAACTGTCATGATCCTGCACGCAAAAGTTGCACAGAAATCCTATGGCAATGAGAAAAGGTGAGAGAAATAGAAACAGCAGCTTCTTCTCCTAGTATAACTCATCTATCAAGATTTCCTCAGGTCTAATCATTGGAAGTTGTTGGATTTGAGAAAATAAATAACAAAATGCACCCAATTTGTATCAGTATGTCAGATGTCTCTGGATCTATTTCCAGTGTAGGATTAACACTTCAACACCAGTAGAAGTGATTTCTTTGTCAGAGGAATCATTTTTGGAAATTCGTGTATTTGCTTTCTTGCTGAAAGATCGACAGCACTCTCATTTCTGTTTGATAAAGCCAGCTCGCCTAGCTCTCTGAAGGTAACAAAATCTGTTTTCTAACCTCTAAAGGTCACTAATTAACATATATCAGTTTGTTTGGTTTTTGTTAATATTTCATCCTTTGTTTAATCTGAACAAAAACTGAAATGGAAAAATCCCAAGTAGTTTGAAGGGGGCCACACTATTGTTTTTGTCTGGGAGCAGTCTAGCGACTTACCCCAATTTCCAGTCTTTATGCTAAGCTAAGTTAATCGGTGGCTGCTGAAATGTCAGACTATTCCTTTTTTAGGAATTTGTCTGACTGCAATTTTGATTCCTTGATTTAATCTTCTTTCCAAATTAGAAGTAAACAGTGTGGATGTGTCAACCTTTTTTAGGATCAATGTTTAAAAAGCCTTTACACACACTGACCTTTTGTTCAGTACACTGATTGCAAAGGGAGTTAATAGCATAATGTAGAAACACAAACTTGGCCTCGTCTTCTAACCCTTTGAAACGCGGACCCCCTTCCATGCAAGGGTTTACGGACGGGTAACGTATGTCACTCGAGGGGGATCTCAGACTAAAGAGTGAGTGAAAAACGCACATTCCAGCCTTTTCCCCTCTGTGCAGCGTTGGCACATCGACCCTCACGACCTCCTGTATCAAATGAGGTCAGAGGAGGAAATGAGCGGCGACCTCCTGTTTGAGGCCGCGTTCAGGTGAAGGCGGAAGGAAAAGGGAGGGAGGGAGGGAGGGAGGGAGTTAGGAGTGATGGGAATAGGGGAGATAAAAGGCTCCTGGGGGAATGTAGTGGTGAAACCAGGGAGCATTTAGGTTTAAGGGTTCAAGGACGAGAGCATACAGGTCTGAGGTTCACAGGCCAACTAAAGCTGTCTTGCTTTGTTGTAATTTCCAAGTGCAGCGTGATGACTGGCTGTCGCAACCCCTACTCGGTTTTTTTTCTCCCTCTCTTGAACTCTGCAACTTCTTTTCTTCCTCAAACCCTTCCTGTAACTCTGCCTCTTACCTTTCCACCTCTAACTCTCAAACTTTTTATAGCTCCCCCCCAACTCTTCTGCCCTTCTGCTCTTGCTCATTATGCAACTCTCTTCAGCGCTCCATCCTCCGCCTGTTTTCTTGGCCCGAGCTGCCAGCGCTGCTTGCGATCTCATCAGGCGTATATATCTCTTGGTAAATCAGCCCGTCGCAGGCCAACTCCGAGACACCACGGGAGAGTTGGAGGAGAAAAGACGGAGGAGAAGAGGGGTTGAGACTGAGACGAATACCTCAGATAAACTGTAGCTGTCTTGTCCAGTTAAAGTGACACCTAGTGAGGCAGTGAGAGGAAGCATTCAAACACTGACGGTGCCAATGCTGGGCTTAAATGTAGGTGCTCAGTTTAAAACCACACCATCATCCAGCTGGATCACAAGCAAGTGTCTGAATGAGTCTGCTTAAGTAGTGTCAAGGGGATTTCTGCTGTATTACAGTCACAATCACTATATTCACTTCACACATACAAAGTCAGGTTTCTTCCCCTGTGTGCACGTCAGGGTTTCAACATCCTTTCACTTGCAAAACCCCACGGCGTTCATGATGCTGTGTGGCACCTCTGATTGCTCCTGCCCCGTATCATACGTAACAAGGGGAGCCCAAGAAAAGTGGGCGCGTGGAGAATGCAAATGTGCCATCTCCCTCTTTCTAGCTGCCTCTTTCTGTCTGCGCTTTTTATAGGAGGTGAAAGTAGACAAACACCCACTGAGTCAGACACAGTGTTGCGAAATAGGTCGCTTTCCAGTTCCACACTGACTCACATGAATTTATTTGAAGTGTGCTGCTTTAGTGATGACTTGATTTCACATTTTGATAAGGCTAAAGTTAACTTTATTTTTATTTTTTTAAAGGAGTACAGTACATGACATTGAAAAGTATTTCAAGTATGGAATCCTGAAATGGGAGGGAAAAGTGACCTTTTTCTTGAAATTCTGGTTTATATTCATTTCAACAGTCAGTTTCATGCTGGACTGCTCGTGTTAACATCTGCTAGATGAGGCTCAACAGCTTGAGGAAGGAGTGTTTAGTTCAATTGTACATAGCAGTATGTTGATAAGTTTGTCTTGTTGAAGCTTAGTGCAGGTCTGCCCTCTCCTGGTGGAAATTAAGAGATGCACATTGTCCAGTTTATAGATTAAAAAAGGTGTTAACACTTGTTCTTAATTAGTCACTGACAGTCTAAATGTCTGCCTGTGTCCTTGAAATGTGCTTTTCAGAAATATTATTTCTCTGTGGATATATTAGACTTTTTTTTAGTACAAATAATGTAAAAGCTGAACTTAAAGCCACCAAACCTTGTGACCTTTTTTCTCCTACATCCAGGGAAGTGGATTAAAAACATACTTTTACATATTTACAGTAACAGGCTGCAATATTAGTTACAGCAAAAAGGCTCACAAACATATCTTGTGGCTCATACTTTAAGCATCTGATCACGTAAAACAACTTACGTGTATATAATAATAATAATCTTTCGGATAGTTCTGTGGGATTTGAGTCCAAAAATTCCTAAATCTTTGCACACATGTCCAGGTTCTTCTGCCCTCCTCCCTGCGTTTACCTGATGGGCAGCGGTTGGAAGAAAAAGAAGGAACAGATGGAGCGAGACGGCTGCTCCGAGCAGGAGTCGCAACCTTGTGCCTTCATTGGCATCGGCAACAGCGACCAAGAAATGCAACAGCTTAACTTAGAGGGAAAGGTACAACACACACACACACACACACACACACACACACACACACACACACACACACACACACACACAGTGTCACTGGCTACACACCTTCCCTCCTGGCTCCTTGGAGTAATAACACAGTCTTGGGTGCATTTGAAGGTTAATAATTCCATGTGACGAAGATGTAACAGAATGATGTGAAACGATCTAATTTGTCCTGCTTTTTCTCTTCCTATACCCACTCCTTCCTCTGCCCTCCCCACCTAGAATTATTGCACAGCCAAAACCTTGTACATATCCGACTCTGACAAGAGAAAGCACTTCATGTTGTCCGTCAAGATGTTCTACGGCAACAGCGCAGACATCGGTGTCTTCCTCAGTAAGAGGATCAAAGTCATCTCCAAGCCCTCCAAAAAGAAGCAGTCCCTCAAAAACGCTGACTGTAAGTTTGTGTGTGTGTGACTGTTTTTTTTTTTGTCTGTTATTTGTGCCTCGGATACTTTTGCTCCTAAACTCTTTGTTGATAGCTGATGCAATTAAACATTTGGCCCAACTGTTTACTTTCTGGGTACATCAATGTTTAACTGTAAAATACTTTTTTCGGCTGAGATGGATTTGACAAAAAAATCAATGCACAGGAGGTGTAAAGAGAGATAACGTGTCAGTGAGGGACACCATTCATTTAACAGACTAAAACACACCATCATAATTTTCTACTCACTCGTTTAAGCATAAGACTGAAATGGTTATGTTAATGTTAAGCTAATGTTATGGTAAGAATACTGCTTTTCTTTATCAAGGATGGCGTCTGTCTCTTTTTGAGACAGGCCTGGCCTAAATGGCAACACAAGGCTGATACACATACCAACACAGAGACTGTAACCTAAAGGAATAAGAAAAGGGAAAGAACAAAGGATAAAAAGAGGGAAAAATAGAAAAGAAGGCAGTTAAAAGGTATAAAAGCACACTTTTTTAAGTCTTTTAAATGTTCTATAGTTGGGTTTTTTATATTATAATTATAATATAATTGTGTTTTATTGTTATGTATTTTATTTAACTTCTTTACTCTAATTGATTTTACTATACAGTTAATGCACATTTTCTTTTTATTATTTTCCTACATTAAGCACAGCTTTTGTTTTGAAAGGTGCTAAAACATTAATCATATCCTTACTATTTACTATAACCACTAGAGGGCAGCGTAGCTTCATCTAAGAATCCAGCAAGCCAGTTATGTCACATGTAGCACACCTGTGGTGTACACATCACCTCCTCTGCAAAGATCTGTCACTCTGTTAACACAGCTGACCTGTGAGCAGCATGTCGGTGTATGGCTCATTATGTAACCTGCCGCTGTCTGCGCTCCCGTTTGTCCACAGTGTGCATCGCATCAGGGACCAAGGTGGCACTGTTCAACCGGCTGCGCTCCCAAACAGTCAGCACGCGCTATCTACACGTGGAGGGCGGCAACTTTCACGCCAGCTCCCAGCAGTGGGGCGCCTTTTACATCCACCTGTGTAAGCCACCGCTCAGCCTGAGCCGCCGCTGCAACACAACACATATAATGAATTTAGAAAAGGCTTCAAGCTACACAGAAGTTCAGCATGAGTAAAGTGAGGGATGCGGTTTGACAGCTTTCACTTTATCTTCATGTCTCTCTCTCTGTTCGCCGTAAATATAACCCACGCGGTATTATAGTAATGACACAGCTGATTCATCACTGACAATGAAAGTGATTGATTGCTTGAATGTGGGGTTTTGTGTGCATAGAAAAAAATATCGAGGCTTGTGGGCGGTTCGCCCACACTGCTGACTTCTCCTTTTCTTCCTTTCCCTGCGTCGTGTGTTTCCAGTGGACGACGAGGAGTCAGAAGGAGAAGAGTTCACTGTGAGAGACGGTTACATCCACTACGGCCAGACAGTCAAGCTGGTTTGCTCTGTCACCGGCATGGCCCTGCCCAGACTGGTAAAAAGAAATGCATCATCGGAGATTAGAGAGTAATAGAAACTAATGATCCCAGTGGGGGGAAACTTGATTCATTACAGCTGCAGCTGATATTGAAATAAATGATAATAGCACCAGAATCGGAATTATTTAAAGGAATCATTTGGCAACTTTGTCACGGAAAATCAGAATTGGATAGTGTTTATGTTTTCCTTAACTTAAAGGAATACAGTACTATTTCTTGGTGTGGCATGGTAGGTGGATCGTAATGCTTTAGGGCACAGCCAATCTAACTGTTTCCCCCGTTTCCAGGATTTAGGCTTAGCTAAGCATCTCCTATCTCCTAGCTCCTTAATAGACAGATATGTCAGCCTTCCTCTTCTAGGCAGGAAAGCGTTTTTCACACTATTCCTTTAACATCAGGTAACATACAGACCTTGTTTGTCATACGTTTTCCTGACAAAGTGTGTTTTTGTCAAGCTTACCTTTCTAGTCATAGTTATTTGTGATGTCTTTTTGCCTTCCTTCTGTCCGTGCATCTGTCTTTACTGCCTTTCTTCCACCCTCATCTTCCCCGCAGACTCCCTTCCAAATAACGTGACTTTTCTGCTTCCTTTCTTTAATTTATTCCTTGTTTGCTTTTTCCTATCCCTCACATTCTCCCATCTATCTTCTACTTGGCTGATATCTCTCTCTCCCTCTTTTCCCCGTCAGATCATCCGTAAGGTGGACAAGCAGACGGCGCTGCTGGACGCCGACGACCCCGTCTCCCAGCTCCACAAGTGTGCCTTCTACCTGAAGGACACAGAACGCATGTACCTGTGCCTTTCCCAAGAAAGGATCATCCAGTTTCAAGTTAGTGACTCGCCCTTAAACGCTTTCACATCTGTCATTCCCTTCACTTGTTACACATCAATTCAGGCCTGACGTCACTTCACCCTCAGATCCTGTTCTTCTCATCCTGTTCACAGATGATTGAGGATGATTGCTTTAGCATTCTGAAATAAGCAGTGAAAGGTTTCATGGCCGGATGCCATTTTTTTCTTTGAAGAAGAAGCAGTCCACTCACCTCCCAGCATTTTTAAAAAAAACTTATTTAGACAGATGTAAAGCCAAAGATGGACATTTGATTGCTGTCTTGAGTAGAGTAGTCTTGATTGGGTGTAACTGTTGGTGGTTATTTCTGCCTCTCGAGTGCATTAAGGTCATATTCCCCCCTCTTTCTGCTAGGCCACTCCATGCCCAAAGGAACCAAACAAGGAGATGATCAACGACGGTGCCTCCTGGACAATCATCAGCACAGACAAGGCCGAATACACTTTCTACGAGGGCATGGGCCCCGTCCACTCGCCTGTCACCCCCGTGCCTGTGGTAGAGAGCTTACAGGTACACACCGAAGAGACGTTACTTTGGATACACAACCCCCAAACATTTCTGCTTTGTTGTACTTGTAGTCCACATACCTGACCGTCACAGTGTAGGTTTAGTCCTTTTTTTAAATCTGCAAGGTTACTAAAGGATCCTATTTGTCTGCAGCTAAATGGCGGCGGCGACGTCGCCATGCTGGAGCTGACGGGACAGAACTTCACTCCAAATCTGCGGGTCTGGTTCGGAGACGTTGAGGCTGAGACCATGTACAGGTGTGTCTTTGCTTCACTTTCATTTTTCTTAAAGTAAATGAACCCAAATCAGGTTTGACCTTTTTGTTCTTTTGTGGTGCTCTTTTCCCCTTTTTATGTGCGCTGTAATTTACCAGGCTACTCAAAGGGCTCTTTTCATTTCCTCTGAAAGATGAGATCCATTGTCTGCCCCACACTGGCTAGAAGTTCTCCTTTTTTTCCCTTTCATATTAGCATAAAAATTGTCCATGACAAATAATTTAAGAATTTATTAGGTATCATACAGTTGTAGAAAATGATGGGCTTTAGGTTTGATGAATATAATGAGAACATGAATAGCATTGTAATTTGAATTAATAAAAGCTTTCAAAATGTTTCCTGTCAGGCTTAATGCCGCAGTGAATCCTGCCAATGGCACAATGGCACATTGGCCTAATGCAAGGAGTAAATACTCATCTCAGCTTTTAGTGATTCAGCCGTATAATCCATCCATCCTTCTTCTTCAAACCTGTGCAGTGAGTGAGCCAGAAATGTTTTAAGAGCAACCTTGTTCCCTTGTAAAATGCCACTGGTTTAGCTGTTCCCTTTTGTCCTGTTGAGTTTTATAGACTGATGGGATTTTATGTGTTTATCAGTACCACCCACCAAGCATCAACTTGAAAGTCCACGATGACCGCTGTCAGCGAAACAGTGGGACCTCCCTGACTACAGTGCTCCAGACCTCTGAAATGTTTATTTTTGTATTCTAAAGTTTGCTTTTTGGAGCGCTATTTGACAGTGACGGAAGAGATACAGACAGGAAATGCAGGGAGAGAGACAGAGGGGGATGCAGTGTATATAGATTGGAAATACGAGGTGTTTAATTAGAAGTGTTTTATCAGGTTATCGAAAATAACACAGTCTCTTTGGGTGTTTTTGAGCCACAGTTTCTCAATTGATTTTCCTAGACTCAGGTTAATGTTTGCAACCACATCCATTAATGGCCAGTTGTGTGCTGGATTGACATATTGTTATGGTCCTTCTTTGGTGATTTTGAATTTTTCAGATGAGCTAGAAGTTTGTTTCTGAGACCTTTTTCCTACCTCGTAAACTGAATAAACTTAACTTAAAAATCCCTTTGTCTGCGGCTTAGTATCAAGAGCCTAAAAATGACACACATCAATCACTCTTTGTGTTTCTTTTCCACCGAAACCTGCTCCAGGTGTGCGGAGAGCATGCTGTGCGTGGTGCCCGACATCTCTGCCTTCCGCGAGGGCTGGCGCTGGGTGCGGCAGCCCGTCCAGGTGCCCGTCACGCTGGTTAGGAACGACGGCATCATCTACTCCACCACACTGACCTTCACTTACACGCCGGAGCCCGGGCCGCGGCCACACTGCAGCGCCGCCGGGGCCATCCTGCGGGCCGGAAACTCCAGCCTGCTCAGCAACAACAGCCAGGAGGCCGGCCCCGGCGTCTACGGCCCCAACAGCACCTCCAACGCGGGAGTCACATCCTCATCCTCCACCGCCGCGGCCGTGGTCTCCTAACGCACACAGGGCGGCCACTCAATATGATATGCCTTGAGAGAAAACGTACCACAAGGTATACAAAGACTATGGGAAATAATAAACAAAAACTGACTCACTCTAAAGTGCTGCGTGTTAATTTTGGATACAAAGAAGCTGAAAAAAAAGATTGGCGGGAGAAAGGAGCTAACGCAGGGGAAATCTGAAGGAGGAGTGACATCACGACTTTGTCAGCCAATGGGAATAAGCATAAGTGCTCCTTGACGCGCCCCCCACCCCACCCCACCCACCCGAACCTCTCCTGTGGTTACTTTAGGGACCTGCCTATCCAGTTCTGGTGTTTTGGAATGAGTGGAAGTTCCTGCAGGCTCAGAGCACCAGCACCTTTCTACAGCTGTGAGAACGGAAAAAAACCACGACAACAATACATCCACCGTGTACAAAAAAAAAATCTCTTGAAAGGAAAGCATTTTTTTTTTTAGGCGCTTCCCTCCCCTCGAACCCCCCGCCCCTCCCACCACTTGTTTTATAATTATTCCTTTTTTGTTGTTTTGTGTTACTTTGCCTTCATTTGTGGTTTCCTAAAAGGGGGCTGGATGTATTGTTGTTGGAGGGAGCGCAAGGATGCAGAGGGACACACATAAAACGTGACGATAACATAGTTTTTATGGACCAAGGATCTTGTATAAGCTTTAGTAAAGGTACATTTTTCTCCATACCTTTTTTGTATTAAACATATAGTACACTTTTGTTACCAAATAGTTTCTATTCTTCCTCTGAGCTTGGGCTTTGTTTTCCCCCTTTTTTGAGGTCCAAAATCCCAACCTCTATGTTATTACGACCTTACTACAACGCCTGCTTTTTTCAGTCTGTGGACTGAACTTTGTTTTGATACTCTTGCTTCTTCTGTTGGGGAGGAAAAAATCTGAAGTCTGGGTTGTTTATTTACATAAGCGAAGGTTGTTTTTTTTTTTTTTTTTTTTTTTTTTTTTTTATAAATTGGGGAATAACCTCAGAGGGCCTATGTTTTATCATTGGTTTTTATGAAGTCTTTAAAAAGAAAAGCTTTAAGCAACGCCTCTGCCTTGCCTGCAATACTCTATGTGCGCTATGTCTCCTTTTGGAAAGTATACACATCAGTACATCTCACATGGAGCCATAGCAACATTTGCAGAATACATCAAAAAACTAGACTTCCATGGTTATGAAAACAAGTCGGTTTTGTCATTTTTTTCAAACTCATGTAATAAGCGTAGTCATTGACTTAAAAAAGGATAGCCTTAGTACTGTATATTCTTACTGTGTACACAGTCAAACCGGTCACATATCTAATATCCTGTGTCTGTTGCTCTATTGGTCACTGTCAATGTATCAGATAATGTAGTGAAACTTGTCTCTCAAACACCCAGCGAGGTGTCTTCCAACGTGTGCTGTAGTTCTGGTGGCATTTAACTCCAGTGGTTTTTCCAAAAAAAAAAAGAAAAGAAAGACAGACACTTTTCAATTTGATGTGGCCTTACTGATAACTTCAATTACAGAAAAAAGAAACCAGAAAACACTTCACCTTTTTTCTTATCTGCTGTTTACTTCACCTTGGAGGAACCTGTGCATAGCACAAAAACAAAGCTAATGCCTCGCTTCGTATCACGGGAGCTGTCGCTGTTCAGAGCTCGCCGCCGCGGCTCCAGAACCACCTTGTCATGCAAAGCAGCCTTCTGAAGGATCTCTTTAGCCTTCGTGTTCTTTTTTTGGTGTACAAGTACAATAAGCCCGTTTTTTATTCTCATGCGGTGCCCAGCACCTTTTCACTTTTTGGTACAATGTCTCACGAGCGCTGTAAGCTCTTTTCAGCCTTCTTTTTTTAACAAAAAACAAAAAAAAATCTCCTGTGGTTTTATTATCTTTGCAGAAAACAAGCGTGTGTACATTGTAAAACTCACTGTCCGAGTAGTTGCACTCATCCGTGTTCATGGCGACTGCGTCTCCCGTAGGAGCATAAAGGCCTTCTAAATGTGTATTATTGAAGATGTGCATTTTCCAAACATAACAGCAATATTGTACAGGTCATTTCATCGTCTTTGTCCGCCTGAGCACTAGTTCACCAGCCAGCAAACGTGTGCGTGTGTGTGTGTGTGCGTGTGTGTGTGTGTGTGTGTGTGTGTGTGTGTGTGACTGTCATATATAGTTGCTGTAATGGAATACTGAGTCAGACTCGCTCCATTTCAAAGTGTGCTCCAACTGCTCCCAAAAAAAACAAAAAGAAAAACCTTGAGGATTCATGGGGTTTTTCTGTCTTCCACCAGGATCCAAATGTCTGATAATTGTGGATAAACATTCAAAGGCAATACTTTGTGATTTTCTTTTTTTTTTTTAGTATTACAGTACAACTGTATACAATTCTGGGGAATAAGAACAACGATACTGTAACTTGAATGTCTGCTTAATGAAGTATTTCTGATTTTCTTTCTTTCTTACAAACAAACCCTTGAAATAGGAACAAAAAAGGATTCGCTTGCACCCCCTTTCAATGTAAAAAAGATTAAAGTTAAGTTATGCCCCGCCCTCCCCATTTTGCCACTCTTGCCCACCTGTCAGTCATTAATGTTAAATGTTTTATATTGTAATATTGATATTTTTTAAATTATTGGTACAAAGTCTCCCCTTGTCTTATGTCAACAAAAAAGATTAAAAAAAAAAAAAAAAAGAAAGAAAAGTGCATTATTGCCCGTGCTGCCTAGGTTGGCCTGGGAGTGTATTTTTTTAATATTTTTTTTTAAAGAGGCCACTTCCTGTCTGTCCTGGAGCCCGTCGAGGAGTTGGTGCTGCAGCAGTAGTGTAGCAATCCAAACCCCCCCCAAGTTTTTCTTTCCTTCCTTGCTTCTTCACACTGAACTCTCGTGACAAGCTGCAGGTCAACCCGAACCCTTTACTCTGCAGGATGGAGGTCGCTGAAATCTTAACTGTAGATTTTTAACTTGAGTGTTTTTTGTTTTTTTTCTATGTTTACTAGCTCTAAATTCAGCAAATTTTTTTTAACATAGCCTCCGTATTAGCATCACACCCACCCACCCTGGAGCTTGGATATTTTTGGGTTTTTGTTTACACACCGAGTCGCTTCTTTTAGACCTTACCACCTACCCCCTTAACCCCCCCTGGCTCCTCTTCATCGCCGTACGCGAGTCCTCACCGAGCAGCTTTTGTCACATTTGCTCAAACTAATAAAAAAAAAAAGGGGGTGATGCATGCTTTTTAAAAAAAAACAAAAAAACAACAACAATGTGTCGCCTTGACAATCCGAGCTGGTTTACAGTTGTTTTTTTTTTCCTCTGGAGTTTTTTAAGCGATAGGGAGGATACAGAATGACTTGATAACACGCCTCACTTGTAAAGGGGGTTGAACTGTCAAAAAAGCGGTCAAAGGAAATAACAAAATAAAACAAATGTTACATGCCTTCTTAAAGAAAAAAAAAAACGCACGCTGTATTAACCTGGCGACAAAAGCTTTCAGAGAGGAAAAAGAAAAACAAACCCGCCATCTCATTAGCGATGCTTTTTTTTTTTTTTTTTTTTACAACTTAACTGGTTTCTTTTCTCTTTGTGTGTCTGGTCATACTTGTTTTGCTCTTCCAAAAGCAGCTGTTCTTGTGTTTGTTTTTTGTTTTTTTTTTTTTTATAATGAGCTCTGAACAATGTATGTATCCTCTAATATGCCAAATGTCTTTTTATAATGTAGTTTTCATGCACTGCTAAACAAAAACAGGGCAGAGTGAGAGGCAGCTTTAAACGAATAAAAAAAAAAAAGGAGTGTGGAGCCCTTCTCTGTCGCACTCAGCCTTACTTCTCCTTAAGACTCTTTTTGGCTGTTTGCACTACAGAGCGCTAACCTTTCTTTTTCTCTCTCACACATTTCATCCTCCACTCTTTATCGCTCATGCTTATGTATGTACATTTGGAGTCTCCACCCCCCCATCCCTCCCTTTTTTTTTTTTTTAACAAACAGCCTGTTGTGCTTAGCCTTGCTACAGTTGGATCACTTTTTGTTGTCATTTCCCCCCACCACCACCACTTCTTCTTCTTCTTCTTCTTCTTCAACTTCTTCTCCTCCTCCTCCATGCCCTTTCACTATCTTTCACTCTCACTGTATCTGTGTATTATTCTAGTAAATGGTAAGCAGAGGTGTCATTGTGGTAGTATACTCAGTGCTCAAAGGGTTGCTGATGGTAGAAACCTGTGCCGTTTGTAACATTTAGCAATAACGTCAAAACAAAGGGGACGGTTTTTTTTTTTTTTGATAACATACGTTAGTTTGTTTTTGTACATATTGCAGCTCCAGGTCATGCTCAAATCTGTATGTCATTAAAAGAAGAAAAAAACGAGAAAAAAACTTGCAATATTGGCATAAAAATGAGAAATAAAAAAGTGATATAAAATCTCACTTTGTGTTATGTTTTTAATCATCATCAGAAGCATAAGCATTTTTTTCCTTTTTTTTTTTTTTTACAGTTTATCCAGACTTGTGTATCTTTTTTTTTAATGTAAAGAGTAAACATTTTGTTGAGCCACTTTCCTCCAGCGACAGTTAAGCATCTCCCAGTGGCTGCAGTGTGAAGGGAGGATAGAGCCTTGGGCATCTACCAAACCCAAATGGAGCTCTTATCCCTGGGAAGAAGTCCCAGCAGATTCCCCCTTTTTCTTTCCGCCACTTGTCTGGGCCCCTAATGCCCTCTGTCCTTTTAGATCCACTTTCATTAAAGCCGTTAAAAGCTCCGAGTTACTCTGCCCCAAGTCTTAGCTGGGCACTGTTTTGGCCCTGGGCTCTCTAGGTCTTTATATGGTCAACCAGACGTTTGTTATTCGGAGACAGTTTGTGTGTCTGTACATAACCAAAAGAACACAATACCATCTCCCTAAACTGCTCTCGGATGTATACGACAAACCTGTAAAATCACCGGGATTACATTCAATTATGTGTCCACAGCTTTAACAGGACTTCCCGTCAGAAATAGGCACACTGTCACATGGTAAGACAAAATACATCGAAAGCCAAAATCACCGAAAACATAAAAAGAATCTACACAACAACACTGAGGTCATACAACGAACATTGCGACACACTGGTACAGGAAAAGAAAACGGGAATAAGTTGCTACATCGATGCTGCTATATTTAACAGTATGAATCAGTGGAAATCAGGTGGGTAATGCCGGGAATTCACTCTTTGAAGAGGAGAGGATACAGGTGTTCAAAGTCCCACAAAAATGATAAGGCCTCTCTCCAGTTCCCATAGTACACAGAGCACAACCCCGCTGGGCACACACACACACACACATATATATATATATACACACACACGCACACACACAGTGGGTCAAGGGCGAGAGCGGGACTATTTGTGCACTGCAGGACTGTTTTGAAGCTACAGAGTGCAGTTGCATTGCAGCATGACTGGCAGCTATACTGCTGAAGATGACAGATAAAAGCCTGTTTACAACCATGAGTATGTTTCTGACCCACCGGCGTGTAAAGGAAATTAAAGGACCATACCAATGTTTTTTTTTTCTTCATGTTTTAGCCACTTTCCTGCAGATCATGAACAGTTTAAATTACAGCTGACTATTTTTTTTTAATGATTAAATGTAACTTCACGGTTTCTTTATTTATGTACAGAAAGTGAAATGTTTATGACATGAGTGCTGCTTTTTCTGTGCGTTAAGTGTGGAGCTATATCCAGGGAGCGATTAGCTTAGCATACAGAGCATTAGTACGCCAACGGGAAGAGCTTCCCGTTTTTTTGACCACTTCAGTTGGAGTGAAGGATTAAACAAATGCCATGCAAAGTGTTAATTATAGTGATTATAGAGGGGTTTGGGCAGGTGTTGACAGGCCAGCTGTTTCCCGTTGCTCCCAGTCTTACTAATCGTAAACTAACTGCCTCCGAGCTCTAACCCCATCGATCTCGACAAGCAGTTTCTCAAAATGTGAAACTATTTCTTTAAAGCTTCATTAAGAGACCAACGGCTGCCTGGAAAGAAGGAAAATACATACGAAAACTAAAATGTGCGCCCTTAAATGTGGTCAGGGGAAACTATACGTGATTTGGTAGTCTGGTGGTAGTCTGATCTTGACTTGCTGGAAATGTCTATTTAGTAGCTGTTTAAGAGCTTTTGATCATATCACATGACCTTAATCAGCATTAAGAGTTGTTGAGGAAATGTAGATGTTTAAATTCCCCTTTTGTCTGAGCACTTTTAAGGACCACGATGGCTTCGAAGCTAAGTTTCAAAGGTCATCCTTGAACGTGGACGTAGATTGGACTGGACTAGTCGATCTGATGACTCCAGACCAGTAATCAAATTGCTCTTAAGGTGAGATTCTTTTGTCAACCGATCTATAAGAACATCACCTAGGTCGAGTACTTCTTGCAAACTGTCATTGACGCTTTTTCGTCCTTCATTGATGCACCAGGTGGGAGGGGTTTACCGATCGGACCTTGGTGTGAAAGCACTGAAAGTACACCGATTCTGCTCCACAGTCATTAACTATTGTACCCACTCCAAGCTAAAGCGACATAGATGCTCATAAACTAGTCCTATAAGCACTTTCAGGGCTTTACGTCAAAAAACCATAGATTCCCTTTAAGTATTTGCACTCAGGCCGGAGCTCTTACACACACACACACACACACACACACATATGAATCCAGTTTAAGTCAGCTCACTCCAGGCTGATGCACGAATGCCGGTGTAGGTGAATCGTGTATTGGCACCACTTGGCGGGGTATGACCATTTTGCTCAGTGGCCATTGGTCCCGCTCTAGCTCTGCCCGTTTCCCCTTTAGCCGTTCCGATTCCAGCTGACCTCCCTAAGCCGCTGCTCCCTTCGCCGCTCCTCCTCAAGCAGCTGCAGCAGGTGAACGTGGACAGCATGCCCTGGCGGAAGCGCTTGTTCATGAAGCAGTAAATGATGGGGTTGACGCAGGCCGAGGTGTAGGAGAGCAGGTGGATGAAGGAGATGGGGGCGCCGGTCAGGCGGTAGGCTGAGCGCCGGTCGAAAGCCTGCCAAGCATTGACCACAAAGACAGGGGTCCAGCACAGGAAAAACAAGAAGACGATGACCAGGAGCATGCGGATCACGCGCTTCTTGGCCATCAGGTTGGCTGTAGAGCTGCTGCCACACACACGGCTCACCATGGGTTTGCTGCTGGAGTTGGTGGAGTTGCCTGTGATGCTCTTCCTTTTAGACGGCTGCATATAACAGCCGTCACTGTCTCCGGGCTTGATGCTGCCAGTGCTGGATTGTCTGTCTGTCAGGGAAGATAATGTGAAAAGAAAAGTGTGAGAGTCCCATTTTATCAGCGGTAAGAAAATATGCAGGAGCAAAGCAGTCCTGACTCAGAAGATTTGGGTCATGTCTGTAACTTGTGACCTACAAATGGAAGACAGGGCTGCATTTCCAGAAGATTTCATGTCAAGTTAAAGGATCATGGTGATATAAATATCAAAAATAAACAAGGAAGTGATCCTAATAACAAGTATTGTCTGTGTAGTCGTTATAAAGCTCATTCAACTGTGCCATAAACCTCAAATTTTGTCGAAACATAATTAAAAACACAACAATAAGCCACGACATTGCACTGGGTGAGCACCAAAAGTGTATCAATCCACAGCTGAATGTAGTCCAAAAGAAGTCCACCTTTTACTCCATTTTAATGTTTGCTAAAATCTACAGTGCCCACCTATTTTGGAGGTTATTTAGCCTTTTTTAAAAATGTATTTATGTAACTATGTACTACAGTTAAAACCAGTGGACTCGGCTGAATACAACAGACAAATTAGCAAAGTTGTACATTGTACAAAGGCATCGTTGGTTTTAGTCTTTTCATGGAATTTTCTTTGACAATAGGAAAAACATAGAAAAAAGCCTGACTGCTTTCAATCACTTGCTGTGTTTTATTTCCATACCTCTGCTAGATTTCCTATTGGACACCTCAAATTTGATTCCCCGGTAGAGCTCTAGAGAAATGAGTCCATAGGCTGTCATCATGACGATCCCAGGGATAAGGAAGAGCAGCAACAACAGAGACACGTACCTGCAAGGGACACATTTAGGCCAGTAAGTGGATGCCAAAGAGCAATTGTTGTATCTAATTTAAATCAACACCAGATCCAAATTGCTTTGCTAAAATGAGAAACCCCTGCCTCTGAGTTTAGACTAATATCATCATGACAACGTGATTGTTTAAATTTAATTTGGTGTGTTTTATTTTTCATTAAAATAATTGAAATGTACTTTTAATCCAGTCCGGAAAAGCACTTTTGTCAACATGTGTTGGTTTTATGTGAGTGTAAACAACCTGACAAATTTACTTCAACATCCGAATTGATTTAACATTGTGTTTTTTTTTATTTTGAAGGGGTCAGATCTGTGTCATGCCAGACAACTTTTTCCCAAGTGGTCGTCTCTCACCAGCAGCGCCGCAATGAGAAAATCAATAAAGAGGCCATCCGAAATTAGGAATGTGCTGCTCTAGCTGCCACACAACCTGAGTGCATCTGAGTATGAAGACACCCTGGCGGGACGGGAAAGGTACGACGCTCCCTATTGCACTTATTTCCAGCTCACCAGGACTGCTGGATGACGTCATTGGGCCACACCAGGCGGCACATGTTCCCGGTGCTGTTGTTGCGTCGGGTGAAGGGTTTGAGGGTGCTGGAAATCGGGTAGGGCAGCATCAGGATGAAGGACACTACCCAGGTGGCAGTGATGACCTTGGCGGCGTGGGATTTGGTCTGCCACGTCCTGGAGGTCAGTGGGTTGCAAATGGCGCTGTAGCGCTCCAGGGAAATGGCCACCAGGTTGAATGTGGAAACACTCACCGAGACACCTACGCAGATTAGAAAATCAGTTTCAGTGTTGAGCTCTGATTTGTTAAAAACCGACATAACCCGGCCATATCTAGCTACAGAAATCATAAAAAAAAAATGTAAAGGAACAATTCGCCATTTTGGGAAGTTGGCTTTCTTGGCAAGCGTTTGATTGAAGCCATTTCTGCACGGTAAATATGAAGATACAGCCAGAAGCTAACCTAGCTTAGCATAATGACTGGAAAGTAAAATTTGGCTCTGCTCAAAAACTAAAAATGACACATACCAACACTCACTAATTAACACATAAAATATCATGTTTGATAAGTACGAAAACCATATTTAAAAAAAAAAAACAACACTTTTCCGTTTTACACGTGGTGGTTGAGCTAAGCTAAACAGCTGCTAGCTCTAATATCATGAGAGTGACATGAGACAAGTCAAACGTTGAATTGTACATCGCCGCGTCCAGACAAAATACTGAAACCCCATTGGATGAAAAAAAGAAGAATTAGAAGACTATACAGTCAGTGTGCAGCCAATTAGCTTAGCTTAACCACCATGCATAAAACCACAATATTATGTTTTTACACTTTCCCAGATATTTGGACCACACGGCATCTGCAGATAAAAAATGTCTCAAAAACACAACAATTCCTATACTCAGGTGATTATACACTAATGATAACACACCTATGAATATTATATTCCATTTCTGCCAGTAGATCCTCCTAAATGTTACACACTGGACCTTTAAGTGTATCAAAAGAGGACTAATGTGGTAACATTCCCCTTCTCACTGTAGTGTATGTGATGCTATGGCACATTAATGTTTTGTCACATTAAATTTAACTGCTAAGCAGCGACAGAGCACATCCTGCGACCAGATCAGCCATTAACACACTCAGTAACAATAACAAGGACAACTATAAATACATTCAAATTATCGCTGTGTACAATCCGAGAGGAGCGACACATAAACGGATAAACGTGGACAAATGAGGTAATGACCCTGGATGACAGCGCTCTGATCTCACGGAACGGCTAAATGGAGCAACAGGAAGTAAGGACAAACATGAAAATCTGATTTCCTAGCGAACCTGTAATTGGATGAAAATGATTATAATATTAGTAAAGGTGCATCATCTGTAATGACTGCATATTACTGCAAATCTCCCAGCAGAGACTTTACTGAGAGGCAGAGGGAGGAATCTGGGGGATGTATCAAAATCCCAAGCAAATGAATCACTGATGTGATTAACTCATCTCCCAGATGTTCCAGAAATCGTTTGAAAGTATTTTAACTTGGGAATTGAGAATATGTGTGTATGTATATGGCTTTTGTTTCTAAATGTTGTGCTTGTAAACTAAAGCCACAAACACAAACCTAGCTGTCTGATGATGGAGAACATTGTTGGTTTTTGCACACGTTTTCAATTACTTCAGCTTACTGGGTCGAAGTCGAACTACAAGCTAAACTAAAATAATATGTCCTAATTTTGGTCATATTTAACACGATTATGTTTATTTCTTTTCTGTACAAAGGGGAATAAATGAAGGAGGATAGTGGAGGACAGTGAATGCTGTTCCTGAAAGCTTTTTTATTAATTATTTGATTGACATTTAAAGTGTGGTAAATTTCTTTTGGCACTGTCTCGGGGAAGCAGGTCAGGTTGCACTATTTACTTGTACTGAGCAGTCTTATGTTCACCCACTGACTGGATCTTAACTCTAGACATGTACTCTGCTTTGAATGAAAATATGTGTCTGGTATGGTTTTCCCTCAAAAAAGTTGAGTTAACTTATCTATTCCTCCTTCTGAATATAAAAAATCTGCAAATATTATTTCAAATGTTTAACTGCTGGAGCCAAGAGGTCTTATACTTAAAGGCGCGATGATCTATATTTTTATACCAAATGACAATATGAAGAAAGGGGTGGTTTGTACTGATGAATCTACAGACAGTTCTGTTGTGTCTGCAGATCTGAGTCAGATCAGATTTTTAGAAAAACCCCATTGCACACTACCACCTAACTGCAGACAGACACATAATTAGTGACTACCTGGTAAACAAAGTGGAGCATTTAGCTGCTGAAGCACCAGATATATCCCTGAGAGCTGAAAGATTGTGAATATTGGACACAATATTAACTTCAGTGTTGTGTTCACAACCTGTTTCCTCTGCCTCTAAGTGGCCAAAAAAATCGGTTATTGCAGGTTGAATCAAAACAGACTCAAGGTGTCAAGTTTCTACATAACACCTGAGTAAGCCACATGTTGGACCATGTTGGATCGGCTGTTGTGTTGTGAGAAAATCCTGCTTGTGCAGACACGTCGCAAACTCAGGTTTAAAGTAATCAGAGTGGAAAACCTTTCACCTTTCAGCAGATGGCTGAGTCTGCACATCATTCTGCACGGTGAAGCTACAATAAGCAGAACACATTGTGGAGGGGGACTTTAATGTTCCGTCAGTTGGATATTGATTGTATTCCTCATTTCCAACTGGTTTTGTTACCCATGTCATTCTTCGCACCTTCCATTCATTTGCCCTGTCACATTCATGAATAATTGAATGTGACTTTGCAATTGTAGAATAGAGCAGGAAACACAAAAATAATAATGGCAGGAAATGCCGGACTGCAAAAACAGCTTCAGGTAAATCTACACTTTCTGACAACATGTTTGCTTTGACCAGACCTGTTTTTAGCACTAGCTCATTAAACCACCAGGGGCTTTTAAACATGCAGGGAAATGAACCTTGTGCAGGACATGGCCCAAGATGACTTCAGTTATCCTCTCTCTGACAAATAATACAATTACAGTGCAATAGAAAAAAACACAGTAATAATTTCCCATTGACACACAGAGTTGAATCATTGTGCATCGCGCATGACAGAAGTATTAGGGGATGGCAGAAACAGTCAGCACACAACTTTTGACGCATTTAAATCACGCTTGGATGCAACATTTTAACAAACGTTGCAAGTTCTCTTCTTGAAAATGTGGAAAAAAAGTCAACTTTGGGTGATAAATTCAGGTATTAATAATGTTTTTTCATCCTGATTTCAACAATATGGCAACATTTTGTGTATGTCTGTCACACAATATTAAATAATCTGAGTAAGAAAGTGTACATAGAGGTTTAGAAAACGGTACAATTTAACTAAAAAGTAAGAGTTAAGACCAGAAAAACACAACCACTAATTAATCACAATTTAAGAATAACCTTCATCATCATTTCACTCACCCATGAAGTACATGACCAGCTTGCATATGCCGGTGCCGAACACGAAGTCCCTCATGAGGTTGGGGATGAGAGTGAAGGGGATGCAGACCAGGGACACCATCAGGTCGCTGATGGACAGAGACAGGAGGAAGAGGTTGGTGACGGTCCTCATGCGCCTGTTCCTCACCAGGACGGCGATGATGAGGCTGTTGCCCAGGACGCTGAGGAGGAAGATGAGGCTGTAGAGGACGATCCGCACTGTCTGGTTGATGTCTGGGACGGAGAGCAAAGAGAGACACACGCATGAACTCTGGGTATATGTCATTATTAAAACGTGATTTTGACTCACTCCTTCGCACTCACGCTCTTGTGTCTTTATTCTAAGATTAATTTACACCCTAATACTCCTCAAATATTATAGTGTTTTTTTATGTCTTGGAGCATAAGTATAAATGGATTGATTATTTCTCCTTTATTTATTTGGACTTTAACCATACAAATGTGAAATGTTTGTGCCATTTACTCTCTATTCTGCTGCCATAAAGTGTGTACTGGCAATTCTATGCACTTGACATTGGCAGAATTAGTGTACAGTGACCACATATGTGTCACCATTAACACACAACAGACTACATCAGCTTTATGGAGGACCTGAGCCATATGCGTAATGCGCACTGACGCAAAAAAAATGCCCAAAGCAGTTGCTCTTTTGGCATAAATTGGAGATTACAAGTCGCATTTGGAATACAATTAACAGCAAATCTCTGAATAAGATTAATATGAAATTCCTGAATACAATAAGGTACTATTGGACAAGATAGCAGTTGATATTAATACAAAATAGATCAACCCACTGTACCTTGAGGTTCGGGTGAGGGCTCCTGCTCGCTCTCGCACTCCGAAATATTCTTGATTCCAAAATTACATAAAATCTTGTTGAGGTCAGTTGAATTCAGGAGCATGTCGTGTATTGTAAACGTCTCCATTTCGCTTTCTCCCCTGTAGCCTCAAGTAAAATCAGTCATAGGGACAGCATTGGTCATGCTCTTGCGAGAAAAAAAACAAAATGCACCAAAGGACGGGGTGTATCAAAATGGTATCTCTCCTTTCAGTCGATTTTTTAAAAAATGAAAAGAAATAAGAAATAATGATGTTAATAACAGTAGCCTACTCTCTACAAGTTTCCGTGCGCTCCCAGTTTGGTGCGCTCCGCTCCTCCACTCAGCATTTCCAGCTACTGACAACATGTGGATGGGTCGCATTCATGAGTGCTCAGCCCGCCTTTAGAGTCTGTGCAAGTCAGCCCCCCCCCTTAAAAAAAAAAAAAAAAAAAAAAAAGAAAATTAAACACCCAGTCGTAAATCATTGCAGTAATGGAGATTCTGCACGGCCTCAAGCTGGACTATTCTCCTGGATTCTTTATTAATATCTCAATATATCACTTACAAGAGAGGAACTACTGAAGCCAAACATTCAATATGCATATGTATGATTAGATTGATTTAAAATGCCAGCAGTGTTCTGTCATCTACTGTACGCTATCTATAAGTCCATGCTTCCCTGGCCCATTTTCAAAGCGTGATACTGCCTGCTGTGACATCTCATGTGAACATGTCAGCAGCAATACGGAAGCCCATTGAGTCATGCTGTAATTGTTCTGATGGTTGGAGAGATGGGCTGTCATTAGTGCCCAAACAACGCCAACTCCAATATTTTGGAATCAGTCTGGTGTTGAGCTAGAGTGAATGCTGCTTTTACTCCCAAGTATAATGACCATTATGGTTCCATGAACTCCTTAAGAGAGCCTTGGGAATGAAGATGTTCATGTGAGAGAGACAGAGGCTTGGTGATATTTTAAGGCTTGTTGTTAGCTGCTATTAATTATGGTCAATCCAACACAGGAAATGAGTGGCCTGCTGTGACCAAGAAAATAAGTGAATTTCACAATGTAACATAAAAAATAAAATAAACCCTAAACCCAATTTTGCCCCGCTTACATGAATAAACTGAGTCACATCAGTAAGAACACACTTATGACATAACAGACAAACAATTTTCCCAGTAGAAACAAATTGCCATCGCCAGGAAATAAGGAATAAAATACCGGTCCTCTTATTCCCCTAACCCTGATCTTGGATCCCCATTAGCAAAGTGGTGGATATTCTTCCTGGGGTCCACACAAAGACAATAACAATAAAAACAATGAACAATTTAAAATGTCACGGTACCAATAAAACAGGAAAGCTAAATAGTGAATAGTGATAGGATGATGATTTTGCTGTCAGACAACTCTTCATCCAAGCAAGAGCTAAAGGTGAAAATACCATAACCTTTAAGCTTGGCAATAAGGATGCTGTGGTCAATGACCGCAAAAGCTGCAGTGAGATCCAAGAGCACAGCCCCAACTAGTTTCCTGTCATCCATACATGTGACCCATTGATCTAATGCAGTGCCCGTAGAGTGACCTGGTCTGTAAGCATGTTGTGCTTTTGTAAGTAGTCCATCTCTACTAAAAGAATTTAACATTTGGTTAAAAATGATCTTCTCAAGTATCCTACTGAGCACAGGGAGTACACTAATAGGTTTACAATTGGAGCTACTGCTTTTCCATCTTTGGGTAAAGGTATGATTTTAGACTCTTCCCAAAGCTCCAAACAGGTACCACTGAGTAAGCATCTATTAAAAATATTGTATATAGGATTGGAAAACTTTTTGCATCCAGGTTATCTCTGCCAGGAGATGATTCATCTGAAAGACAGAAAAACATCTTCTCAACTGTGTCCTGATCAAATGAAAAACATGTCTAATCACTCATAATACTGATAACAATGTTGGAAGAACACATACTAGATCTTAAACTGTCCACTTTATTGATAAAAAAAAATGAATTCGCTACAACATATGGCTTGGTAATAAACTGACCTGCACATCCCATATACCTTTGAGAATTACCTGACTTATTGCACATTATTTCATTTTCAAGCCTCCACAATATTATTTACAGAGCTGTGAATTTTTTTGTTTAAAAAGATTATTTCACTTTAATATAATTTAATTTAGTAACCTTATTTCTCAAGTTGCAATAAAGGCTTATATCTACAAAAAAACCTGATTTATTGGCAGTTACCTTGGCATTGTCCCTTTGAAGAATTAAAGATCTCAGCTAAATCTTAATAATAATAATATCCTAGACTATTGAGTCTGCATTAAATCTTATATATGAGCTGCGATAAACAATCTTAATTCCAGACCTGGGCCATTTTGTCTTTCTTGCTTAAAGCAATCCGATTATGGTCACTGCATCCCACTGCCACTGACAGTGCCTGTGAACACACCTCATGTACAGTATGTTAGTGAAAATATGATCAACACAGGTTGAGGTTTCAACAGCATCAATGGTTGTGAAAATTCTTGTAGGTTGAGTCACAACCAGCAGCAACCACAACATCAGCCATAGAAATCCAACCTTTTTTGTAATGGACAATTTTTAGAAAACCAGTCGATATTCAAGTTCCCTACAAAAAAAACACTTTCTTTCATCCATCACTATATCTAAATTTTCACATATTCTATCCAAACAATTGACATTATGGTCATAATATATTTCTGTATCACAACTAAAAAGTGTTCCTGAACATAAAATGCAACTCCACCACCATAGTTATCCCTACCAGCTCAGAATAATAAAAAATAGCACCCAGGTGTAATTCTGACAACCCAAAAGCATGAATATTGTCTGAGGAGCAAATGTTGAACCATGAGGTGCTTTAAGCTGATGATGAAGTTTGTCCTCCTCTGGGTATGATGAACAGCTCATACTTCAAGCTGGCTTTGAAAGCTGCCAGAGAAAAGGGTCTCACACTTGGGCAGCAGCTCTTTTCTCCTCAGCTCCAGTCTTCATTTATTCAGATGTTTGTGTCCTTAAATGTCTTGGTAGAGGAATAGTCTGTCTGTCTTTAAGGCGCCAGTTCTCTCCTTTCTCATGTACACTCCAAGTCTGACCAAGATGTACCAGGAGCTGATAAATGTTAGAGATGTTGATATCCAGTCAGGCCTGTTTGTCAGAGGACTAATAGGCCCAGGAGCCCACTAACTTGCACTACAGTCACAAACTCAGTTGTTGATCTAATATTGTCCTCAGTGTTAAGAGAAAATGTGGTTAGACATTAACTTACACAGATTTTTGGGTGGATTTAGACAAGCCAGAATCTCAAAGACAAGGCATGGCAGCCTGTCACATGTGCCATTATGAAAATGTATCAGTGGTGGAAGAAGTATTTACTCTAGAATGTAAAAATACTCTATTACAATTAAAAGTCCTGCATTCAAAATCTCACTTCTAAAAGGACAGAAGTGTTATCAGCAAAATGTACTGAGAGAATGAAAGGTAAAAATATCTATTTGCCATTACACTGACCCCTGTTCTATGACTGTATATTATTCATGTGTAAGCAACCTTTCTCCTATAACATTTCAGTGTTGTAAGCCGAGCTGGTTGAAGAGGAGATATATGAACTAATGCTGTGTAGGTTAATGTGTAACAACGCATTACATTATATATATTTATATAATCAGATCACATGAAAATGATGGAAATGTTACTTAGCAATAAGTACAATATTTCTCTCTTCACATAAGTAAAGCACAAACACCTCAAACCTGAGCTTAAGCTGTGCCTGAATACCACACCACTTTTCTTGCATTCATCATTTAGGCGCCATGTTTAACGTGTGGAAATAAAAGAATAAAGATAACCAGTTTTTCCTAATACTTCTAAATTCATCACCCTTTCATAATCAATATTGGGCTAGTTACTCAAAAAATGTAATTTATCACTCATTACTTATGTTCGTTACTCTTTTCAAAAGTAATGTTATTACTTTACTTATTACTCTCTGCCAACAGTAATTAGTTACACTAATATATTCCTTCTCTGTTTCACCCCACAAAATTGGTTATTTCCTCCACAGTTACAAAAATGAAACCAAGGATTATAACTGGATTGTTGGATTTCATTAAAACTAAAGTTGTAAGTAATTACTTTTAAATAAAGTAAATTACATTACATTAAATTACATTTAAATTAATATATTATTACTAAAATGTATTAGTAATTAGTTACACTAGTAGTTACTGGGTAAAGTAATGTTATTAGTAGTAAAGCCTTACTGCCCATCACTGCTGATAAAGCTCTGATATCCTGTCGGAACAAACATTTTCATCCCGGAACCAAAATCCGCTGTCTCATGTTTCCCCCCAGCACCGCGCGCCGACCCTCCTCAGTTGCTAAGTAACCTCTGCAGGGGGCGGCTGCCGCAGCGGCGGATGCTACCACCGTCCCGCACATCAAAACCGCGCCGTTTCAGACGCAGAGCGAACCGAGCTCCGATGAAGAGGATGGACGACGGCACCGAGTTATCTCTGACCATCGCTCAGATAGTCCAGCGGCTGAAGGGAAGCCATTTACACTCCCAGATAGAGAGACAAGCCAAAGTGAGTAAGGGTTTGTTAGCATGTGGCTAACGATGCGGAGCGGGCTGCTGTCAATCTCAGAGTGTCGTAAACTGTTGAATTTGTAACTTCCTTAGTTCGTCTCAGTGTAAGAATACAGCACAACAGCTACTTCATTTGTACAAAGAAAAACTTTATTTAATTCTTCCCTTAGGAGTGTTTACATCAGCCTGAGATTAAATTAGAGTCCCTTAAAGAGGACGTGCGCAGTTTTCTCAAAACATCAGGTAGGGACACACACACACACACACACACACACACACACACACACACACACACACACACACACACACACACATTTCCACAAACTCACTGCTTACTGTTATAAAAAAAACTATAAATGTATCTTTCTGTGTGGTGATAATAACTTATTTTAATATTTTACAGGCTGGGAACGAAAGCTACAGAATGCAGTGTACAGAGAACTGCATGTGTAAGTTATATTCAGTGTGTGTGAAGCAACAAACACAGCAAACAGACCTGTATACACACACACACACACACACACACACACTGACACCCAATGACCTGTATACACACACACACACACACTGACACCTATTAGGAGTCAATGTCATTTCTGTGGTTTGTAGTTGAACCTCATCACATTTGCAAATACGATGCATGAAATTATCAATGTTTAATTAATGTAGACAGTCAAAATACGCAGTTAGATCTTTGAATAATCTCAGGAATTTCCCCGGCAGATTTCAGGATACCATACCCGCATAGCAAAATTT